CAGCACCGCGAAGACCCAAAAAATCGAAAAACCTCTCCCCTTCTAAAAACTGGCCATATCTCCCCTCCCCTATACTTTCCGCGCTCCGCGCGATGAGCTCGTAAAGTAAAGGGGAGAGGAGATAAAGCCATTTTTTAGAAGGGCAAAGTTTTTTCGATTTTTTGACTCTTCTCAGTACTTTGCTTTTTTCTTCTAGTTGGGGTACCCTCGGTCCTCCATTTCACTTTGAACTCGAGTGCGTATTTATTTTCGAAATTCAATTTTAAATTAAATAGGCCATTGTATGTACAAAACACATACGTTAGATGTATTTTTTTTAATTCAAGAATAAAATATAACAAAAATAAAACGGACAGATAATAATCGAAGTCAGAGACTCTAGTCTGCAGCAGCAACTGTCTATTTGGCAAATGTTTTGACTAATGGAAATGTCCCTATCGTCTTCTCATTAGCATTCGGTGATTGTGTTAGTTCATATGTCACAGTTGCACCATCAACATTTCCGTGAGATTGGAAACTACGTACTCCAACGTTGAACGAATAAATACCAGGAGCCAAATAGACGTAGGCTACTCTTGTCACAGGCATTACAATTCCGATAACGTCTGAGTCTACTTGATAATAACCATTCAATATGTCAACTGCAAATATCGATGTACCTAAACCATAATTAATACGCGCGGCACTATTCGGTACAACTTTGTTCCCGATAATCAAGTAATCATTGACCACAATTTGTATGGCTAGGGGACCCTGTGGAGCATTATACGCAGCGCCTTGAAATGTAACTTTGAACAGTGTGTTACGAGTGATATGAAATGCCTCATTTACGCCGTTAACATAAGTGAAGATATCCATTTGGGGAAACGACTGACCACCACCTGGTTGATATTTCACGTATAAGGCCTGTACTGCTGTACCACCAACTGATTTGATTTGAATCGGTGTAGAACTACTATCTGTCGAAGAAAAATACGCAAAATTGTCCACAACCTACTCCGTCATGAGACTTATGCCACACCTACTTGATGACGATCCAGCATGAATCCAAAAAAGAAGAAAGAAGGCAGACACAGCGGTGTGCATGGCTAGAACAGCTAGTAATCAAAGAAGTCAATTATTTTGTGTTTGAGGAATTATGGTGACTTTCAGTCAAATACAGTGTATATAAGTGTATGAAGAAAGTGAGGTTTTTTCTTCAATAAACAAATTATTGAGTCATAGACAAACAGTTGTGTGACTGTAGAACTGAATTAATCAAGGGCATACGATCCAGGTGGGAATATCGGCCAATATAAAAGAAGTTCTGAACAGAGGATTTGGTGATTAAAACCGACCATTTTATGCTATACGTCCTTCACTTATGCTCTCAAATGCATTAGTAATTGGTGACAAAAGCGTAATAATATTTGAGTAGACACTTATTAAAAAGTACATGCTATGAATAATCATAAGACATATGAAGTAGAAACTGATTTTGAAAGAAATTGATTAAACTTTTATTCATTCAGTGTGATGAATGAAGGGTAATAATCAAATAACAGAAGGTCTATTTGCTACCAGCAAATGGTCTGTTATTTTAAATAATGTACTTTATTTTTGTGTCTAAAGAATATGTTCTTTTTCCAACCTTTAAAATAGAAATTTCTCAATTAACTAAGAATCGCACCAATTGACAGTTATTACCATACCCGGCCTGTGTACAGCCTGAACGAACGTTAAATTTGGGAAAACAGTGAAGATTTAATCGACCATTATATTAGATTGTCAGCTTTTTCACTCACTCGCACTAACTATCAGCTCTCCCCCTCCCGATGAGGGAGATGCCCATCAAAACGCGAATATACAATCCGACTCTTGTAAGTCGAAGCATCGTTCGAGGAACGCTCAAAAGTCGGGTCGCTCATATGTCAGATAATGTCCTTGTTGACGACACTCCCAGCAAAGTGTTTTGTATGCAAGTACCAATAGTTCCTAAGTGACACTCCCGAGTAATCATTATAGAGGGTACCTGAAAGTCTAGAAAAAACTGTGTTTTCAAACTGCCAAGCCCTTCTCAGCCCAAATCCTAGTTGTTCACGTTTTGACTCAGGATCGAAATGCGATTTTCACTGCTGTTCAGCTAAAAAAGCATAACTGAGCGTAGAAAAATGTATTGAAACATAGGTTCTCACATATGCTCTATTAATTAGCATCCTTAAAAAATGTTTTTTGACAATTTCTTAACTTGGGCCTCTAGAAATCCAGATTTTCTGTGTGCAAGCCATTACAAGTCTAGAGATATGTTTGGGAACACTAATCACTGAAAAAGATCAGGCAAAATTAAGACTGCAGATTAACAGAGAGCAGATAAAATACTGCACGAAAAGCAGAAAAAAGGTTTCGCCCACTTTAAAAGAAGAAAAATGCTAACTAAGAAAAAATGGTGCGGTGGTATTCGGACGACCTGGCCATCGAGATACCGGTTCTTCCGAAGGACCCGAAAATGACCTTGTCCCGGTTACAAACCTATCAACTCTTTTTGTTTAGGATACGGAGCCATTTTCATAGTTCATTTGAACCGTCACACGGCCCTGAACAAAATGTCGTATCCGTTTCGTTTCCTTTCCTTTCTGTGCTGAGAAAATTCATTTTTTCTAAATTAGACGCGAAAAAGTCGAGATTCTATCCGTAATTCTCGATTTTCTCCATCAAAACTCAACTTTTGAGCAATAAAAACATTATATTCGGAATCAGGATATATAGTCGCAATAAGTGAAGAGATCCAATTTTATTGATTACCAGACATTTGGGCGCGCGCGACATTTTTCCGCAACGACATTTGGGCGCAAGTCTATTCTTTCACTATCTGATCGACCAAGTAGAAACTCTTACCATTGTAGAAGAAAATTTTCTTGGTGGAATTTCCTTTCCTATTCATTCTCAATATTCTTCTTCTCAATTTCGACGCTCAATAAAAAGCGAAGAATAACTGTGTGAGAATACAGTATATAAGAAGAAAGGTACGTAAGTACTCACAGCTAGCCTCCTTCGCCGGCAAAACTAATATTAGCGCCTAAATGACGCGCGCCCAAGTGACGTGCGCCCATATGTCGTTGCGCCTAAATGTAGCGCGCGCTCAAATGTCGGCGCTCAAATGTCGGTATACCAATTTTATTTTCTTGCCGAATTCGCACAGGAGGACAATAGTATAGGATATACTCGGTCTGAAAGTTCAAAAAGCCTCTTATGTGTGGCTTCCAAAATTCTTCATTTGTGTATGCATAACCGGAGTCAGTTCAACTTATGCGCTGATGTAAAACGGACGCGTAATTTTGGTTGAAAAACTTGTTTATAATTGATGGGAATCAATCAGTGATGTGCAGTTAACCATGGTTGTTGAACTGTGGTGCTACGTAGCAGTCTCTTTAGATGTCCGGGTCCTCAGGAGTCTCTTGAAAGCCCGCCTGACTACCGCAGGACCCCATGACAGGATTCCTATGGGAGTTTCGTCGGGATCTCGACTAGGGAAGAAAATCTGCTGCGAATCACATTTTGAAAGTTTTGCATTTTTCTTGCCCTCTTCGCTAACTTTGCTCCCAAATCCCGTGTATAAACGCTTGACTCTTTGTAGCACAACGCCTATGTCCGCTGAGTATACAGTACTCCTAAATTCAAAATTTGAGGCTCAGGTTTTAATCAATTGGTCAGGTGATGGCGATGAATCAGTACGTTTTACTCGTGAATTTAACGGAGTTATGTCTCAGAGCGTTTTGTATGTCAAAACTTGCATATTTTAGACAAATCAGATATTCACTCTCATTTTTAAAATTTTTGATTTACTCCGAAATCGAAGAACTCCCTCCCTGTCTCTTGTGCTTCGCGGCGTCCCTGGTAACGACCTCGGCAAAACTGGAACAGAAAAGTAGGAGGAGAGTAGAAACAATTAAGCGTTCAATGTACTCTAATAATCAATCAAAGGTAAATTTCAAACTTGGCCGTTCAGATGTTAACAGAATAGTTTCGTAGTCGAAGCACGAGACCCAAAAGAGATGCATACGAAACCTAAAACGATTTCGAAATGGTTGCACTTCTCTATACCCTTTCAGGTTTCGTAATAAACCTTTTTTTTAGAGTGCTGAAAGGCTGGTGCACCCGGGAATAAAACTCATCATCAAGCTACAGAATAAATGGAAAGATACACAACAGATTTCTTCAGTTCTTCAGACACGCCTATTTGACTAAGACCACCCATAGGAACTTTTGGAAATGATTAGAAATTAATGCGAACTAATTTAAACAAGTCTCATATTAAATTAGTTCGTATTAATTTTCTTCTGATTAAAAATTAATTTGAATTAGTTCAGCTTAATAAATTAATTCAAATCAATTGAATTTTAACCAATTCGAATTAATTTACTTATAGAAAAACGCTGCTAGTGAATACTTTGTCAACCATTTCTCGCATGTTCCTCTAAATTACCCATGTCGAGCTCTTTTTTAAAATACCCGCGTTATTTCAAAAACGAACTACTTGTCAATCCTACAGTGGATAATACATAATTTTTGAAGTGTAAAACGCGTCGGCCGTAGTCTGTTTTCCAAATTTAAAGCCGTTCCGTAGAAAATAATTCGAAAACAAGCTCGTGGTCAGATTAGAACGAAACTAAAAAATTAATGTGTCCAGCGAAAATGGAACGCCATCGTCAGTCTAATATGACTCCATGAATCTATTATCATGATTTATTAGGTCAAAACTAGGCATCCATAAGTTTTATCCATAAATCCCTACTATCAATGTGAACTTTGGAAACGACTGGGGCGATTATTTGATGGAATCGGCCCTGGTTGAATTCCATCAACACATATATGGTTAGATGCAGAATGAACAGGAGAACATTTCTAGCCACTCGGCAGACCTTAGAAATGCTCTCAGAAAAAATTGGGTCCAATTAACTGTAATCACTTCTGACACGTATTATTGATCATAGTCTCGAGTGTGTCTCTCTCGGCCTCATACCTCAGTAGAACTATCATATGTCATTCGAAAGCTCTTTTTCTGCGCTATATTTCTGTATATCACATACATTCTGCATCTAATCATTTATGTGTCGATGGAATTCAACCAGGGGCCGATTCCATCAAATAAGCGCCTCCCTCCTTTCCAGAAAAAAACGGAGATTTTGAATTTCGATGCATATTCGAACGAAATTGTCGTGTCCATGATTGCAATTGACGTGAAAAGGATTTGGTAGACGATATAGTACCAAAGTGACCGACAAAGAATGTGGGTGATGGGCTTGGAATGCCTCGAAGTCGAAAATACGAACAACGAGACTTTAAAGTTGATAAGTAGACAGCGACAAGACAAACAAAGCACGTGAGAAGAATAATTGTGATAAATATGCTGTTATATGCGCAACGATAAAATAATAAATGATTTGTAATGTATTTTTTCTTTATTCTATTCTCCCCAAAGGGTATGTTTTTTGCCTTCTATACGCACATATTTTTGTAGGTAGCTCTTATTCATAGAGCCACCATTATGTCATATTTTGTGAGATAAGCTTCACTTTACTCGAAACAAAGAAATGCATTGATAGCTACAATGGATGACGAGTGATTGACCTTAGCAACTACGTCGATCACTAGGAGAGAACAAAGAGAAGAGCGAGAATTAAGCTTATAATCTAACAGATTGGTTTGAAGTGATTCAAGGCTGGATGACATGATATTTTAGATAGAATACAGCTGACGAGGGACTTTATATCAAACTTTTTCAGAAAACAGTTTTTTGGTTATACTGTAATGGTATCCTCGACTCTTTACTCGAAACTGACACCACTAAAGCGACGGTATAGAAACACCCACTTTTCACATCGATATGCACTGAACAATAACGGTTCGTATTTTTCATTGATTTGCAGGGACGTTCTATGTTGATAGGTAGTTAGCATCTGCCGATGTTCTCTCCTTTTCTTATCGCAATAGTAATAACAGAAAATGAAAAACGAAGAGAAATGCCTTGATATGGAGCCTCGTCCAAATGGAAAGTGACGAAAACAGTGATTTTGCTTGGAAAAAACCATGCAATCTTTCCGTATAAATAGAAGTACGACTGGGTAGAGTGGCATTCGATGTTGCAAATTATTTTTATGATCCAATACGACATACAAACTAACAAGGTGCTCTAGTTATCAAGCAAGATCAAAGAATAATCCTTTCTCTTTCTTTTGTCTTTCACGAAGAAAGGCCGAGTGGTCGCATTAATTGCACTCGCTCAAAAGAAGTCATTTTACAATAAGATTAAACATTGTTGCAAAGAGGTGCGTAGTGGATCCTGTTGACTCAAAGGGCTACTACAAGACCTTTCGCTGAGCTGGCAAGTACAACGTCCCAATTGATCCGTGAGAAGAAAACGACGTATCTAGATAAAACATATACTGATGTCTTCCTCCGACAGCGATCGGGTAACTTCATCTAAAACAACTTCGCAAGCACACTCTATAAACAGAAGTAGTGTGTCGTGGCGACGGCAAGATGGTATAATCGAAAATTTTCTTACTCTATGGCTAAATTCAAACTCAGCTACGTCCAGCAATGATGATGAAAAGTCAATTACTCACCTTCAATCTATCGTTAATTCAATCAAGGTTTTTAGTAACGGCACCGAATGCATTAATTTTATTCATAATGTCAAGGATTACAAAGTCTTTTTGATTCTTTCAGATGCTATCGATATGTTGTACATACCTCTCATTCATGACCTACCACAACTTGATTCCGTCTATCTTTTATGTGTCAAAAACATCAACCATGAGCATATGCTTAAAGAGTGGAGAAAAATTCGAGGCGTATTCAACGACATTTCACTCATTTGTAATCAAATCAAAAAGGACACTCGCCAGCTTGAGGACAATTTAATACCTTTTAGTGTTGTTCCTGCTTCCTATCCAGTGAATATGAATGACCATGATCCTTCATTTATGTATTCACAATTACTCAAAGAGATTTTACTCGAAATGCAGGATGATGAAAAGGCTAGACGAGAATTTGTCCGCGTTCTTCGTATTCAGTATGCCGAGAACACTGTAGCATTACGCTCGATTGATGACTTTGAGCAAGAGTACGATAAGCCATCGCCGATTTGGTGGTACACAAAAGAATCATTCATTTATTCGGCGCTCAATAAAGCTTTACGGACTGAAGACATTGAAATCATTCTCAAGATGGGTTTCATCGTCCGAGACCTATGCAGACAAATTGAGCAAGTTTATTCAGACACGCGTCAAGAAACAAAACAGATTGTTTACCGAGGTCAAGGCATGTCAAGTGTAGACTTTGAGAAGATCAAGAAAAATGAAGGTGGTCTTCGAACATTCAACTATTTCTTGTCCACAAGTACGAATCAACAAGTCGCTAATGCTTTTGCCGAGAGTGTTCGAAATGATTCTGATCTGATCGGAATTCTCTTCCAAATGGAGATCGATTCATCGATCTCATCGAGTCAGTTTGCCTTGTTGAATGGCATTAGTTATTACTCAGGTGAAAATGAAATTCTCTTTTCCATGCATACTGTCTTTCGAATTTGCAACATCTTAAAGCTCGATGATCGACTATGGCAGATTAATCTCAGATTGACAAATGATGATGACGAACAGTTGAAAAACCTTACCGAATACATCCGTCAAGAGTTTGAAGGTGTTGCAGAGAACCATCGACTCGGCACACTGATGCGTAGAATGGACAAGCTCGAGAAAGCAGAAGAAATCTTCACGCAGCAGCTTGAGTCGGCATCCAACAAAAGTTCGCTGGCAATCGCTGATCTACATTCAGAATTGGGAGGTATCAAATATTCACAAGGAGATGCTTCAAATGCACTGGCACATTTTGAGAAGGCACTCGAAATCAAAGAAAAAACTCTTCTATCGACGGATCCAGATCTGGCTAAGGCATACAGCAGCGTTGGTACAGCTTATTGTTCGATAGGAAAGTACTTAACTGCACTCTCATACCACAAAAAGGCACTCGGAATTAGAGAAGAAGTTCTTTCACCTATACATCCAGACTTAGGTGTCGCGTACAACAATCTTGGTGCAGTGTATGATGCAATGGGAAACTACTCGGCTGCACTCTCATACTATAAAAAAGCAATCAACATTAAAGAAAAAATTCTTCCATCTCTACATCCCACTCTAGCCATTACTCACAGCAATATTGGTCGTCTGTACAAAGTTATGGAAGATTATCCAACTGCACTTTTATCTTATAAAAAGACTCTCGAGATCGAGCAAAAATCTCTTCCTCCTACACATTCTTCTCTCGGTACTACTTATAACAACATCGCTGGAGTGCATCAATCATCGGGAGACTACTCGAATGCCCTCATGTGTCTTGAAAAGGCTCTCAAAATTCAGCAAGAATCATTGTCATCCACTCATCCCAATTTAGGCATGACCTATAATAATATTGGTGTAGTATACATATCGATGAAAGATTACTCGGTTGCACTCTCGCATCTTGAGAAAGCACTCGAAATTCAACAAAAATCGCTGCCACCTATTCATCCTCTTCTTGCCAAAACATACAGCAACATGGGGCGAATGTATACTTCAATGGGAAACAATTCGATTGCACTCTCATATTATGAAAAAGCGCTTGGGATTCAACAAAAATCTCTCCAATACTCGCATCCTGATGTCGCTTTGACCTATAATAAATTGGGAAATGTGCTCTACAGTCTCGGTCGGTATGAAGAAGCCGTCATACATGCTGAACGAGCTGTTGTCATTGCTCTTGATACACTTGGGTGTGATCATCCTATTTTTCGAACATATCAAGAAGACGTGAAACAATTCCGTCAGAAACTATAACTGTTTTCTGAAAGATCAGTGACGTTGTAAGATGAATTGCTATTTTATTACATGCGCTTTGTGATACACTGTTTATGTCTATTCTTGTGAAAGAGTGTCAATGATTTGCCTTTTTCACGATTAATTATACAAGAAAACGATGTAGCCAACTTACATACAGTGAGTCAGTTGCCTTTGTTGGTAGCAAACCATGTGCGACAACATATTCGCTAATCCTGATGTGAAATGATGGGTCTGTATTCTTGAAGAGAAGAAGTCTTCTTAGCATAGCGCTTTAATATTACCGTATAATTTGACTTTTGAAGTTTCATTGAATTAGATCTATTGCACGAAACTTCTTTTTAAACGCCTCTCGTTTTCAGAAACTTTATAAACTATCGAAACAGAAACTCTAAGTTTAAACGAAAAAGATAATTTTATTAAAGAAACTATTAGTTTCAAATTTAGCCCAATAACAATTGTCTGAAGGTATCGGTATATGGCTGTCAAATGCTGTTTTCCATCTATGAGACGACCAATACTTCGATCCATCAGTTTTTCTCTGTCTGTGAGAAAGTTCTAGAGAGGATTCATCGAAGAATGATGATCAGATGATGTCTATGGTTTTAAAGAAAGTCGTTTAAGTACGACTAAATCATCATCATCATCGGTCGCGTTTTTGAGGTGCGGTAATAAAAAAATGTTGTACTTTCATATTACATTCTTGGTAGATTTTCCTGCGAACAGGTAAGACTATACTGGGATACCAGCCCTCATGTATAGAATAAATAGTGCCGTTGACCTTACTATTAGATTCATCCGCCTTTGTGACGCCATTTCCGTCGTCACAGAGTCTAAATATCCCTTTCTCGGGTGACCCATCCGGTCATAAATGATCGTTGGTCGCGTAGAACACCCGAGGTTTGTCAGTTAGTTAACCGTCGCCGACGGTTCGACGTGGGCCTTTTAACGTCTTGCTTAGGACGACTAAATACTTACTGAAGAGGTTTTCTCAAAATATAGGATCAACATATTCAGGTTGACTAAACGCTTCTACAATCAGTTTCAAATTACATAATCAAGGAACAGATGAAATAAATAAACAATTGTGTCCAAACAAAGTTCATCATATAATTTTAAATTCAAACGAGCAAGCGTATGATAATGAGGTATTGATGATAAAAATATAGATTTAGGATAACATTCATGAAAGAATAATCCTGTTCTAATGTATTTCAGATATGTTGAATGATTAAGAAAATCAAAGAAATTAACTTACAACAATGCCAGAACTACATCTTCGCTTCAATGGACATATTCTTGCAATACGCCAAGAGAAATACGAAAAACCACTTACCGCTATTCACTTCAACTTACAAGACCACTGTATCGAAGACCTCATCATCACAGCTATTGAAACCAACTTTATTAACGAGCAGCACTGATTAGATCGGGAACTATTCTGAAAATATGAGCACGATCAGGATCATCTTCGGATATTTGCTCGAGCATCATTAGGTCAACCCATTCTTTTTTCTCATATTCACACATTTTCCACATCAAGTAACTCAGCTTGAACATGTCGCTTATATCTCCCATTTCCTGACTGATAAAATCCTTAAGTCTTTTTAGTTCGCTATCTTCTTCACCAGTTAGAACCAGTCGCACAAACCAAATCCCATCGTTCATCTTTTCAATTGATTTTATTCGGAATACTGTACATACCGAAAAGAGGATCTCGTTTTCGTCTTCGAAATAGCTCAGGTGTGATATGTTATGATAGGGACAAGAACACGTGTCTCTATCGATTGTCATTTCAAATAGAACCGCTTCGTGATTTTGCCACTCTAATGAGTCGCGAGCAAAACAGTGACTAATGTCTCTGTCACGCGACGTTGATAAAAAACTATTCCATGAGAGAAGACCGCCAATACTTTGTTGAAGTTTATCGAATTGGGCTGTCCCCATTCCTTGTCCTCGATAGATAGTCATTTGACCTGTTTTTTCATCTTCTTCGTGCAGCTTTCTGAGTTGATTATATAGGTCTTTGATGAAGAAACGTAGTATAAATAAAGTGGCGATATCAAGGTCTCGTAGAGCCTTCTTCATAATTTTGAAGAGAAAACAGTCTCTGCTATACCACCAGATTGCCGCTGTCGATTTGTATTCCCTTTCAAACTCAGATAGAATTTCCAGTTCATGTTCATTATCATTGTACTGTTTTCGACAGACAGCGATCATCTCCTGTTTACTATTGCCGGCGTCCATTCGGATTAACATATCAGTTAGCAGCTTAAAGTACATGAATGCCCCTCCTTGTTTGTTAGTTGTTGAGTCTGAGGATAGGACTGAGATAGCAACAGTGTCGTCCGGTTGTTTGGGGATGTCAGCTTTGAGTTTTTCAATTAATGATATTGATGTCATTGTCGACTAGTTTTATTTTAGAAAATCCGTTGGTTCATTCAGTTTCTCCGCCGAGTGAACATAAATGCCCTCCAATTGAGGTAAGTCATGTATAATACGAATAATTGGCGCTGCTAGAGAACTCGAAACGATTAGATACACTTTTTCCTTTATAATCGATGTTATATAGTCAATACATCCTTGTGAAGTGCTGAATATTATTATATAGTTTATCGTTTGGCGCAGCTTTCTCCTTGTGCTCAGATTATCGTCGGTTTTGTTTACATGTTCATCTAGCCATACTACAACATTTGATTCAAGATTTCGCTCTTGCGAGTTTAGATATGGGATATCTGTACCGAGTACGTGTGCCACAGTTGAAGTTTTAGAACAACTGCTCCCCATTCTTAACCGGCCCCAAACAGCCCGGCTTCGAAGAGTACAAATTGGCTTTTAGCAGCAATACCTGAATTTCATAGAGCAATAATCTCCGAAATGAATACGTTGTGGAGAAAGTACAGAATTCTATGGAAACCGCGGAAAATCTGTACAGTGGCCGGCGAATCTACACATTTTCCAGAAAGTTTCTGCTTCTACAGAGTGCCGGGATAATTTATAGAATCAGCAGCGGTTTTATAGAAATCCCAATAAGTTCGCAGAAAGTAATCAATGGGATTTTGAACCTTGCTCCAGGATGTACAGAATGCCTGAAAACAAGACTTTTTGTCTATTTTTCAGTAGCAGAATGTGTCTTTAAGCAATAAAAATATGAAATTAGAAATTGAATTTTACAATGGCTATAACGGAGGCTAATTTGAACCACTCTGATACAGCCGTTGCAAAATTCAATTTCTAATTTCATCTAAAAGTCCTGTTTTCACGAACTTTGTTAATAAAAATATACAACTGAGACCAGTCTCACTTACCAACCGAAGGCAGGCTGTGGGTTTATATGGTATAGTAGATAATGTAAATTAAAGGCTACATCGAAAGAATTTCGCAGAACATAAGATTTTAGTACACGTAACAAAAAAGAACTCTTTTTATTTCAACAGATCTGAGCGATCCTCTATCTCATTTTCATCTAAGATAATTTCGATATATAATAATCCAACGTTTTCTGTATTGGAACTAGAATGTAACACAGAAAGAAAGCTTCTTCTTCTTAGGAACGCTAGAGAACTATTAGAATCAGCGTACTGTTATTGGTCTACTAATGTCTCTTAAGAGACAACTTGTGAGCGCGTCCAGAAAATCAAATTCGTTTTGAATATGATTTTCGGATTTCTCATTCAAAGTTACCTATAAATCTGAGCTTTTAGCCGTTTTTCATTGTTGAGAAAAGCAAATTTTAAAAAGGTACCAACAAGTTTTCTTCAAAAATTGAAGAATTCTGTATATCCTGTTGTTTTAATTGTAGCGACATTATCATGCATTTGATTTCCTTAAAGTACTTATCATTCGAACGAACACAGAAAATTCAACGAAACCTGATATTTTGTTGATTTTAGATAAATTTTTCGGGACGGAAAAAAATTAAATAAACTGTCATTAGGCAAAAAAAGGAAGTCAATTTTAAAACAATTATAATGACAACAAATTCCATTGTCTCACAACAATTTTTAAAACATCTTGTAGAAAATAATAGTCTCTACAAAATGCACTATAGTACATTGAAATACAAGTGGAGAAACAGGCTGAGAAACGCTCAATAATGAGTACCATTAGAATTAGTATATTCATGAAAATTGTTTTAAACATGATTGTCATTTGTATAAAGTCATGTTTTATCATCAATAGGCCATAGCATGTTAAGAAAGCCGTTTACGAATAAGTAGGATATTAACAGTCGTTTGTAGAAAATAAGTAGTAAATAATTGTATTGCTGTATGTCAAAAAAGAACGGATCTTACCATTTTTTCAATAGCTTTTGATACAAAACACCTAGAGAGCTCCGATTTTCGTCATTCAAAAGAGGAGACTCGGATGCATGATGCCATAACGAAACGTTTTTTATTTCTAGAAAAAGATTTAAAAAGCTAGTGAAAACCCAGTTTTATAAAAGTTAGGCTTTCAGCGCTCTGTTCATATAACATGAAAAAATTCACCATTCACTCAGAAAACCGAAGAACGAATTGGAAACATGAGGATATATAGTACTTAGACTATTTTATATTTTATATATACGAAATCTAGAAAAAAGGATCTGCATAAAAAAGGAAATTTTGACTTGTTCTCCCCAGCTACTCTCTATTTCAATGAAGGATGGAGTCGTTTGTAACTTGAATAATTCCTCAACGGAAGTACATAAAAATGTACGGCTTTCAGTGTTAGACATAAAAAGATAACTTTACACTTCGTAAGCAAAAACAAATTTCGGAAAAGTTCTAAAGCCGGCTTCCCAGAGGATCTTTGCAAAACCAGCTCCGTTTTCAGAAAATTAACATACAAAGTTAGTAATTTTTTTGTATGCGTAGGTAGTCCAGACGTTACTCTACAAAATTATGCAAGTCCCAGCTCTCCAGCTATCGTCGTTTGGACAAGGCTCGCTTTCTCCGAGCAGACACCTCTGGAAATTTCGAAATGCCATGGAATATAGGTAATCGACTACGCCGAGC